TTTTGTTAATTCTGTTTCTTCCTGTGTAAAGCATATCGCATAAATACGTTTTGAGGTGCTTGACAAATAGATCAGCTTTGTTTTTATCGTTCCTAGCCCAGTTATTGGCAACATCTTTAATGGGTGCTAATAATCTAATAATCTAATTATCCAGGCTCTAATTTTCTTTTTCAAGGTTTTCTTCTTAATTGATTAATTCTTTTAACATTTTTGTTGCTTTATTATTTTTTTCCGTTCTTGATTGTTTCCAATATTTTCGTAGCTGTCAGTTTTCTGTAATTTTTTGTTTAGTTGTGAGAGAATTAAAAATACAGTCTATAGATTATACATGGATACGTATCAACTTGAAACTGGTCTCTGTTTTTAATAAATAAACAAGAATACCAGAAAAAGTGCAATTCGTAATAGTTATAGAAGTTTTCCATGCAAAAATTTCGGAGCAAAAGAACAGGGAGACATACGTTACATAGTTCACTTCAGATTGGTTAACAATAACGATAAAAAGAGGAGTTAAATAATTACTTAAACAAGAAAATTCTTGTTTGACTAAAAATCGTGCTCAAATAAAAAAACTGATAAAACTTCTAACTCCACCCCAATACTATAGAACTACTAAATGAAACAAGAGAGGGAACATATTGAACAACAGACAAAATTGAAACCCTAAATATGAATATAAAGAAATATAGATACCAAGTGACGAATAACAGATGTTAATAAGGATAATTAATTGCAACATTAAATATGAAAGCGAAAACTTCCAGAGCAGCTCAAAAATAATAAAATTAAGAACAAAAAAAACGTGACGAGTACTGATAGAAAAGAAAAAGCAAGCCATAGAATATTCCTAACCCAAGCTATTAACTGCCAGACACAAAGACAGAAGAATAACGAACTGAAATAATTATACCATCGTATAATTGTAACATCGGCTCAGAGGATATACCAAAAATAACACACTTCGAAATAAAAATAGTCCTAAACCAATTAAAAAGTAATAAATTTACAAGAGAGGATAAAATTACAACATAAACAGGCAAAATATATGACAACAAAATAGAATAAATACTAAAGATTTATTAAATAAGCTAATCGACGAAAAATAACTCCATCTAATGTTACACTCCGAAGTCATCCTTGATATTTAAGGAAAGGATATACATATACAAGCATACACCTCTCTATAATTTGCTTCTTCTTCTGACTCTTTAGCATGCCATACCATAATTATCCGACGTTGGGGCTCACCATGCGAAGGCTTCTCGATCATCCTCAATATGAATAATTGTCCCTGCCTTTGGTATCTGAGTACATTCACGAATGTTTTTTTACCAAGAAACTTTTTTTTCCCTACACCTCTACGCATCTCTATTTTGCCTTTAAGGATCAGTTTTAATAATTATATCGACTTACCCCTTACTATATGCCCAATAAGACATTTTTCGATGTTTAACAGTCTTTTTAAACAGTTCTCTATCTTTGTTGACGCTCCCTTAGTAACTTCGTCATTATTTTCTTGCTGTCCCCAAGGTATCTCACATTCGTCTATGAACCCACATTTCCAATTTTCATTTATGTCAATGAATCGATACTTTTAGCGTCCACACTTCTGCACTCATACAAAAGTAAGACCAAACGCAGCACTTAACCGTATTCTTCTTGCCTTAGTTCTAAACTGAGATGGATAATGCAAAGAAATGACTTCAATGTTAATAAAGAATAGTTTTAGTCATAGCTATTCTAACGTTTTATTTCTACTGTCTGGGATCTAGTTGGTCTCTGTTATCACCGATCCCAAATATGTGATTTTGTGAAGTTTTCTTTCTCCTCTCCGTGAATACGATTCAAGCAGAATTGTTCATGACTCCTCGTTGTATGGGAATTCCGTCGGTGCAATTAATCATCCAATTTTTACTATACGCAGTTTTGAACATTCCAGACAAATTTTTTAAATGACAACGAATATCCATTGTCATCTATTCCGATATTTTTCAGTATTTCACTAATTTTAGATGCTGTACTTTATCGAATCCTTTTCGAAGTTCCACGAAAACATGCAGATAATACATATTTTCTTTCGTTGTCACGGCATTTTTTGAAATAGATTGATTAGCGCATAAAAGTGCCTCCCATGTTCCCATAGCATTGCTAAAAACCAAATTGGGAATCTTCAAATGATCTTCTTCACTTCTTTATATTGAAATTAAAAAATACTCTTTATTACTACTTAAAATGTAATCAATATTGCTATTAGTTTTCAGCCAACCTCAGTTGGTGGTATCATCTGGACCACAAGCCTAATGTCTAATTTTAAGCATTATTTATAGCTGTGTATACCTCAGCATTTCATAAGTTTCCATGGTCGTCAGTACAGTTTTGGTAGAATTCGGCAATATTATTTCCTGCTCATCTTCAAACATCTCCTGATATTTATAACTGACAGCCTGCCATTCTGTTCTTTAATTCGTGCTTTATTTACAATAATTTTATGTTATTATTGTCACAAACTCAAACACAAGGGAACCCGTTTTTTTAAATATATTACTACAATTTTTTTTAGTTTTTTGTGCACGTTAAATAATTTGGTGTTTAGATAATACAACTTCCAGTTGCGTCGCACCTTTTCTCTCATCCATTTTTTTTCTTTGGCTAATTTGAACTCCTTTTTTTATTTTTCTCTGCAGGTGTCCATATTCTGTTACATTAGATTTTAACAGTCCCAACGTTGTTTCCAGTCAATTCACAAGATGTCGTTTGTCATCCATTTATTTTTTCTTGATTAAGTTTGTCTCATATATCATTGTTGTGTCGAGATTTCGTTTAACTTGTTATTAAAATTGCACTCCATAGTTCTTTTGGATCTTCTAGTTGTTCTCCTAATGTATTTTTATTCTAATTGTAAAATTGTTTTTTAATGTTTAGTTTTATGATTAATAGTCCGTCAAAGTTAAGTACAGTAGGTTTTTGTCGCTTGAATTCGTGTTAACCTTAGGTTTAATAATCCGCTACGAAGTGGTTGATGATTCATCTCCTATTATCTGCCCCAGGAATATGTAGCGACATTTTTTGAACGGCATTTCGGAAAATGCTCATTTACCAAGTATAGATTCTATTTGATTTTCTAGAGACTCAGGGGTTATTTCCATCTAGTGATGGTGCAAAATCAGAACTGACCCGATTCAATTAGGCGAATCTTCAGAAAGATCCAACTGACCCGAATCTCAAAATTAAATCTAACGGATCACGGGTCAGTAACAAACACATAAGACGTGCAGAATGATGTAGGTCAAAGCGAAAGCCGATAATTAGAGAGTCAGTTGAACACTGAATCCCAAGCTCTTATAAACAGAACGTTGAATCGTTTTCAGTTTCAAGTAAATATTTTGCCGGACCTTGAGATCGTATGAAAGGAACGTGAATCGTGAACTGTTTACTGATAATTATAAGGTGTAAAAAACTAATTAAAAACGACTTATATAAAATAGATGGCTGAGTTTACCGAAAAGCAAAAAATAATGTCTAATATTTTTCCCACGTGGATATATTTGCGGTTATTATATTCTTTGTATTTCACGTATTTATGGTCACAATGTATTGTTTCAGAGCAAGTAACAATTATGGGTATTCCCCCCCGAAATATGTATGTCATGCGTAGTATTGAATGCATAATAATAATAATTTAGTAAAAGCGCCCTACAACACATCTTTTTATTACTTTGTACATTAAAGAGATCTTAGATAGGTATGCTTAAATTAGCATGCTTAAAGAAACGTTTAGTTGATTATATAGTTAGCTTAAAAAAAAATAAATTTGAATTTTAAGTTTAATTAGGTAAAATTTAATAGATCAAAGTAAATTCTTTTGTTGCCATAACATTTACTTGTAAGATTGAATAACAACTACATAATGCTCTTACACCGATTATCCACCCACCGCCTACCGTAAAAATTTTAGATTTGTTTGCACAATGTTCTGTGCTGACCCGTGACCCACAAAGTGATCCGGTTCCCTTAAGTGAACCAGAACCGTGACCCGAATCTCAAAGATGACCCAAATTCCCGTCACTATTTCCATCATCAAATGGGGCTTTCCAAGTGTATAGTCGTCGGTCGGGTAGTTTATACCAGGTGTTTGCAATGATCATATCGTTTTCTTTACAAAATTCATACAATCTCTGTCCTTGATCATTAGGTTGTCCTAAACCTTAAGGACCTACAGTCTGACCTCGTCGACCTTCCCCAAGTCGCCTATAAATTGCTTACCAAACTTAGTATTAACAATATTAAACATAACAAATCGTCTGACTTACAAGCTCGGGCTCGACTACTACCCACCTGTTGAACAGGCTTGATTCCGAAAAGGTTTTAGCACAACAGATTACCTGCGCACCATAAGAACAGTATAATTTATAATATTAAAAATTAAATAGGGATGGGCCGGCTGCATAGCCAGATACGATAATAACAGATGGACACGGTGAATCCTGAAATAGAGATCAAGAGAGTCGAAAAGAAGCACAGGGAAACCTCAAAAAAATGTAGCTATATTTTTGGCCGTTACGGAAAACTATCTCACAGTCTTTTAAAGGGTCTTCCTAGTAGTTTGGTGCCTATTTGTTGCTATTCCAGTTTATCTTTACTATTAATTATTATTATTATTTTTTGTTTCTAATTATCTTTACCATTTTGTTGGGCTGGTTTGTTCCTTTTAGTAATGTTAACACATATTCTAACCTATCAAAGTATCATAGTAAACCTACAGACAGGATTGTTATATTCCAATGCTTTGTCAGTAATTTGTCTGGGGATGAATATAGCCGTTATAGAAGGCATATTTTGTCAAAAGCTGTGTTGTTCTACACTAATTAGTAATTTTTCATTTATTACCTAAGAAATGTCCTTATTAACAGTTTAAGAGTTTTGTTGAGCAACGTAATCTCACTGTAATTGTAATTGGTAGAATTTCTACTTTTCTGAATGGATTTTGTCAAAATACTCACCAAAATAGACTAAAATGCTCTCAGGTTCAACAGCTATAGCTGCCCGAGGTTTGGTTACACAATGGGCAGCAATTAACACGTGTGTCTGTGATATTAGACTTGCTCCACATATATACCTTAAGGTTATGCCTTTTGTATGATACACTGCTGCATGCCATGGCCATTCTCCTAAACCATCAAAAATTAAATATAATTTATATAAAACAATTTAAAAAATACCAAAATGTATTAAAATTTGACACGATTTAAATAAAATAATTAAAAAATATTTACCTGGAGTTGTATCCTGTCCATAGGCAATGAAAGCTTTAGGCTTTAATGCCACTGTACCACAACCTACAGTTGGTTGTTTTTCAAGTAACGGTTTTTTAAGATTATTTTCCGTACTTGCACCTTTATCTGCATTAAAGTCTCCTGGAAAGAAATCTTCCTCCGAATCACGCGATTCAGAATTGTGGGAAGGAGTTTGTATATTGCTGAAAGTACATAAGTATTATAAAATCAGATTAAAGCTTCAGAAGAATATTAAAGAAATCTTATATGTAAAATAAACCACAATGATTAGTACTATTCTACAGTCTTAATTTAAACAAACCGTCCCACTATCACCTAGAACTCTCTCTATTTTATCAGCAATACACTTCTGTCCTTGGACTTACACTCCTGTTTATTCATATATTCCAAGCATTGCTTTATCTTTTTCGCCTACATCCTTATGCTTTTGTAGAATTTAGATGCCACTTTAGACATTTGGTTGTCTTTGGGTGTTACCTTTTTTATTTAATATTCTATTTTTTCTTTTTTCTACTTTTATTTTCCTCATTGTTTTCGTTTTACATTTTAATCCGTTGTTCTCTATCCTTAATACTATATTCTTTTTGGTTTTCCATCTAAATACATTCCCACTATATATATATAAATATATATAATATTATATATAAATATATATAAATTAAGATAATGTTAATTTTTTTACTGCGAATCTCATTTCTTCTTCAATGTGCCTATCTTCTAGAGATGTTGGCGACCACATTGGCCCATCGTATTCTATTCCACAGTAGCTCGAAATAGATCAGTTGACGTTAGACCAGTCCACTTCCTAAGATTGGCCAGCCAGGATATTCGTCTACGTCCAGGCCACTCTTACCCTCAATATTACCTTGTAGAATCAACGGAGAAGTCGGTATTTAATCATTACGCATGATGTGGCCGAAGTAAGAAAATTTTCTATTTTTTTTATGGTGTTAATAATTTCTTTGTCTTTTCTTAGCCTCAGAGAACAGGTATGTTACATGTGTGGTGTATATATGAGAACCCTCTACAGGGACTGCTACATACGTCGTAGAACCACATTTCAAATGCCTCTAATCGTTTTAATGGCATCTTCTATAAGGCTTCCCAGCTTCTACTCCATAGAGGAGACACTAAAAATGTAACATCTAAGAATTCTTATGCGTATATTGATACTTAAAGATAAGTTGCAGAGAATCTTCCTACAGCTCTTGAAAGAGCTTCTGGCTTTTTTAATGCGAGTTTTTATTTCGTAGCTGTGATCCCAAGTATCATTAATATTGCAGCCCAAATAGCATATTTTTTTCTACTTTTCTAACGTGTTACTGCCTATTGTAATTTGGTCGTTTATGCTGGTGTTCTCACTAATGATTATTATTTTTGTCTTTTTACAATTTAGTTTTAGTCCGTATTTACATGCTTCTACAACGTTATCAATCATCCTTCGGAGCCCCTGCGCACTATCACTAAGATCTGCACATCACTGCGTACTAAGATGTTTTCAGAGTATATGTTAAATATTGTCGGTGACAATATGCAAACCTGTCTGACTCCTTTTTCGACTGTGAAGATCTCGGACAGTTCATTTTTTAATGTACTGTTGCTTTTTATTTGGAGATATAAGTTTTGAGATCAGTCTTATGTCCTTACTATCGAGTCCTGGTGATTTTAGGATATACAGTGTAGGTAAAATTTTAAGGTCGGTATGGTAAAATTTAACAGATATCTAACGCAGATATAAAATCATATTTCAACGAATAGACAAAGATAACAATCATATTTCCCCTTCGTCTCCCCTCCTAAAATCCTTTAACACTCATTGGCCATTGCCCATTAGTGAGACGATTAGTTCCGATAGATATTCTCTGGTTCCGATCCTAATATACCTAAAAAACTAGAGGTGGGTCTTCTCGTTTTTTTAAATTTTTATCGGAACCGTTTTTCGTAAACTGTAACTAGTTGATTGTTTACCAGTATTCAAATTAGCGAGTACACAAACAATTTAGCTATTATCGTTTATGTGTATAACTATTGATTGTTTACCAGTATTCAAAATTAGCGAGTACACAAACATATTAGCTATTATCGTTTATTGTGTATAAGTATTGAAATAAAAGAACCTAACGAAGATATATTTATTGTAACTTGAAAAATAAATTAAATAATAACAAATGTACTTAAATAGTTACATTTACCTTACACATTATTAAATCGCGAATCTTCTAAATTGACATTTAAAAACATAAGTTTTTCCACTTTTCTTGTTAATCGCGTTCTTTTATTTAAAATTAATACCAGAGTTAAACATGTGTTCACAAGGAAAAGATTTTGTTACAATACTACAACATTTTATGAATATAGTGGTTAAGTTACGATTACATGGCGATGGTTTTTTCACCACGGTAATGACAGTTCCAATCTCCGTTCGAAATTGTTTGTGGTAATATATCATCAGACAATTACATGTCGACTTCTGTTATACCTCTCGATTACAGTGTATGTTTAGATAGTCATGTCCATTAATTCATCAAAAATACAACCATGGACTTAAGTCATCTTTATCAGTTTCTTTTTCTTGGACTGATTGATTTTCAAGATTTACTAAATCTTTTCGTTTTATATCCGTTTTCCATAGTTAAAGAACCAGCTTTTTAAAAAGTTTGCAGGGTGGATTCCTGGATTATAAACCCGCCAACAAGAAAACTTTGTCAGGTTTCATTACTTTCAGGAATGTTATGTCAAAAGTGAGCAAATTATTAGATCGCAAGTTGTTAAAGAAGTAGAAAATATCTGTATTACTACTGACCTCTGGACATCTGGAGTAACTGAGAGTTACTTTCGCATTAACAAAACAATATTTAACCAAAAATTTAGTATTCAAAACTTTTTGATTAGGCTGCTGCCATTTTTCTGGAAACCATAATCCAGAAAACAGTGATTACTGAAATTATTAATCAGTCGGGTCTAAAACGAAAAGTAAATTTATGTAGTAACTGACTAAGTTCCTAAAATATGGTCAAAGCAATTAAATATGTTTTGTTTTTAATGATGATTGTGATTTATGATGATGATTAAATTTATTGGTGGGGGACGCACTTAAATGCTGTCGTGTACAAATAGATAAAATAAAAAGTCCTTTATTTCGACAGTTCTGCAAAAAAACACATTTCAAAAAAGTACCTATATCTTCAAAAGGCTTTTAAAGTATTAATTACAACAGAACACAGTTCCCAAACGGCCAATCCAAGACTGGATTATCTAAGAAGTCATGTCGAGTATAGAGAATGGAAAGAATCAGGAATGAGGAAATACGAAACCGTACAGAATTAGAGATACTCTTTCAGATAGAATACAAGGAAGGCAATTATAATGTATGGTCACGTGATGAGAATGAGGAGGAGCGGTGGCCAAAGAAAGCCTTAATGTATGTTCCGCCAGAAAGAAGGAAAAGGGAAGACCACCAAATTCCTGGAGAAGAGAAATTACAAAAACAATGCAATCTAGAGGCTTAGAAGAGGGAGATTGGGGAGATAGGAAAAGATGGAGGCTGAAATGCGGGAAGCGGCAATCGCCGTAGGACCCCCGTTATATGAATGGATGATTGTTTAGTTTATTTTTCAAGTTATAATAAATATATCAATTAGGAGTTTCTTTCACTTCAAAAGATATACACATAAACGTAATAATAGCCGTTATGTTTTGTTTATGTAGGTTACTATCATTACTTGAAACTACTTTTAAACAATCATAGTTACTTGTTTATGAAAATTAAAATTTTTAAATGCTTTTTAGCAATTCAAAAAATTTAAATTTTTTTGGAATCCTGAGAAAACTAACAAATATTTTTGAAAAAATTTAAATGCAGAATGAAAGATTACATTATTTACCGAGGGCCGAAGGTCCCTTAGAATAAACAAAAAGTTTTTTTTAATGAGATATTTGAAATTAAAAATCACACTAAATTTTTTGTTTTTTTTTTTCATCCCTATAACTTATTAAAATAAAACATTTATAGAAAACAGTGTTTCAGGACTTTCAGCATCTCGGTAATAATGTATTGTTTCATTCTGCGTTTAATTTTTTTCAAAATATTTATTAGTTTTCTCAGGATTCGAAAAAAATGAATGCATTTAAAAAACATTGGCCCGAAATTTTTGCTCCTTATACGCTCTTAACGATAAACTAGCACGACCCACCTCTACTTCTCGTTACACACGATCATTTGACCAACGACTATCTAGACTAAACGTTGCCAAATAAATTATGTATGAATATTTTTTAAATTTGGCGTTATTGTATGCATGTTTTTAATTGTTTATTATTTCATATTGGGAAATTATCTTTGATGTTTAATTTTTAGATTCGGAAATCGTACTTAAAATACGAAACATTAATAAATTTTATTTATAAAAACGATTTCCGAAATGGAAATCAAAATGTTATATTACAATTATTGTAAAGAAAACTTGTGGCATATTCCCAATAAAAAAAACAGTAACCTGCCATTTAAATCAATTTCGCCCAAATTTGATTATCCTTGAGCATTTTATCTTCTTGATAGAACATTTTTCAAAATGCAAAAAAAGACAACAGGTCAAATAAAACCAATAAGTTTTGGCAACGTTGAATTTCCCCTTTTTTAATATTCCATTCGGCGATATAAAGGGCGTACCTAATATACCTCTCCTCTTTTTAAACAGCTGTTTCTCACTCCATCTCACGTAAGTCCATACCGACCATAAAATTTTTTCCTACACTGTAATTAGTTTTCCATGTGAGACTTTATTAAATGCTTTCTCGAAATTAATGAGACATGCATCCACTGTTGACATCCCTGGCTCTGTGTATTAGAACTTGCAAACTAAAAAGTGCTTTCTCCGTTCCAAGTCCTTCTCTGAATCCAAATTGAACTTCACTCAGGTGTTCTTCTAATTTGGTGTATATGCGCGAGTAAATGTTAGTAAGGAGTACTTTAAGTACATGGCTTATCAAAGTAATTAATCTAGTTTCTTCACATTTTCTTCTAGCGTTTGTGTTTTTATAGGAAGATGGAATGAATATTGATAGTAGCCAATCTTTTAGGTAAGTAACCAGTCCCGTAGATGTGTTGGATAGTTTTCGTAAGAGCTGTAATTTGGTGTGCCTCTAATAGCTTTAAAATTTTACCATGCACTTCATCAGGTCCTAGTGATTTCCCATCTTTAATTCGCTTAATTTCTACTCCTTTTTGATTTTTTTTTCTATCTTCATTTTCCTCTGTTTAAGAAAACGTGACAATATTTTTATTGCATAGATAATTCTAAATTTTCATGCAATTGTAAATTTTACATCTGTAAGGCGCAGTGTATTACGCATCCAAATTTTCGCTCATCTTTCGTGCTTCAAAAAAGCAAAAACAGAAAAAGCAGAACATTCATGTCTTCTTCAATATTGATAGGTCTATTTCCAACTGTTTATCTTCGTAACTTTGAAGTGGAATGAATATTGATCAGGTTACCAAAACTACGTAGTCAACATACAATAAACTTCTAAGTTTGACCGGTGCCATGTCCTTCTACTCTTGTGCTTATAATATTAAATTTTCTTTGATATTGTGTGTTGGTTCTTTTTGTAAATAAAAATACTGACAAAAGGTAATATTCATCTTTTAATTTTACTTACCTTGGTGAAATGTTGGCATGTACATTAAGCTCATTGTATAAAGATGGCGCACCAACTTCTCTGTTAGGAATAGTATTTGGATTTTCGCGTATTAGTTCCATGGACTCTAAAACCATTAGATTTACACAATAATTTGCTATATTTATGATACCTTATCGAATGTAACGTTAGTAGATGGCAACGAATGCATCTATATCTATATAAATAATTTAAATCTAAAATCTAAACATTCATTTAATTAATGAATATTATTGCAAGTATTACTGTAAGTTAATATGCTATGATAACAGCAGAAATTCCCAAAGCCACAGAAGAAACCGGAATAAAATTGCTTCACTTGTTTCTGTAACAAAATATGGCATTCCAATTCCAACCAATGGCCTAAAGACTGGACAAAATCTACAATATAGACTATGCATAATAAAGGCAACTTCCATAAAGACGAAAACTATAGAACCATCTCCTTTATCTCATATTTTTTGCAAAATAATGCTACACATTATCAATAAGAGAATGAAAACTTTCCTACAAAGAGAAATACCTTAAGAGCAAACTAAATTTAACAATGGTAAAGATACTCGAGAACACCTTCTGAACATAAGACAAATAATAGAAAAATCTAGGGAATTCAATATCCCACCATACATTTGTTTTATAGATTATCTTAAAACGTTCGACAAGGATAAAGGGCAAAATTCTAAAAGATACTAAAAGAGGTAGTCGGACCACAACACTTAATTTCGCTTATAACTGAACAACACGAACCCACTACTGTTAGTAAAAAAGTTGGACGAAACTGGTGCAGTAAAAGATTTATCCAAATCATAGCGCAGAAAACCTACAGCAGCTGAAAACAAATTCATGTTAGAAGTATGGTCAATATTTGAGTAGTAAGAAAATTAAGAATTTTAGAAAACCTGTGAAGGCGATTACAGTATATTCTCAAATATTGTCTGTTTACTTCAATACAGCAAGCTATGCGACTTTTAAAACTTTGAAATACATTTTACATTATCCCTGACTGCTCAATTCTTCTTATCTCTGTGGTAATCGTATCTTTTATTCCTGAATATTGGCCAGTATTGCTTTATAAACGATGCTTTTTAAAGGATTCTACACGAAATAGTTTAAAAAGACTCATGTGGAGTAATCGACGGGGCCATTCTATAAAACCACGAGTTCTAATCCATCTTCTGGGATACACATTATTTGAGTATTGCCTTACTACACGAGCATAGTGGAGTACCCTCTTGTTGCAGCCAAATATTGTCGTTTGGGATATTGTTATTGTCTGAAAGTTTCGAGTAATGAAATTTCTACATTAAAATGTAATTGAAAATATTTATTTGGATTTGGAAACAACCGAGCCAACTCAGGTATAATACTATTTTCCAATAAATCTAAATGCACCGAATCATTTAAGTTTTTCTTAATAAAAATGAATAATAATTAATTTTAAACTGTTTGTCCTTGTTTTATAGTGTAGTGGTTTGTACAATTTTATGTTAACATTCATGTTTAATCACATTCTCTAAACGCTTGCGGATAGCCCATATTTGACGAAGTAAGTCTAAAACGTTAATCACAAAAAACTTTTATCATCCCATTAACACGATTTTTTAATCGAAGTTAATTAATTTCCTTTATCTAAAAAAACGTTTTTTTTTTGGTTTATTTCAGACGCCACTGAAAATGCTATATTAAGCGAGAGTACTTGGCAAGATATGATTAAACTTTGTGCTCGATATAATTGCCTTAATTTTCAAAGTTAATATAATAATAGCCATCTAAATGTATTATTTTAACTTTAGCGAAGATAATGTAAGTAAATATCTACTAAATTATGGCATTTAGGTATAAGAAACATCAAAAAATAATCAGTATTTCTTAAGAACTTAAAAATAATATACAGAATTATCTATTTGAAATAGGAAAGTTCATTTTATTTTCATAAAAACTGAAGATCTCAAGACCCCCTAGGCACAAAAATCTATAAAAATTATACAAGCTGTTTTCGAGATAATTAAGGCGTTCCATACTTAAAAGTCACCCTGTATATTAGAAATGAAGAGGAAAACAAAGCATTATTTTAAAAGTATAAAAAAAGACCTTCATTTTCGTTTTTTAAAATGGTTTGTATGTGCATTTAAACAGACTCTACAGTTATTTTAAGTCGTGACATTTTTACACTCGTGAAAAAGGCAAGATTACCCTCGTTCCGGTGACGACCCTATCTTTTTCTTCAGTTTTGAGTACGAAAGAACAAAAAAATTGGTCCCAAGAGTGTGCCCTTAAATTTCAAAATCAAGGTTTTTGGCATCAAAAAGTGGACATTTTTTGTAGAATTCGTCGTATAATTTATTTCATATTAATTGAGATTTAGCAATTGAGATATGCATTTTTTTATTAATTACAAGAATACTATGTGTCTTTTTTGTAATATTATCAGATGAACCAAAAGCTTTTTCGAGCCTCAAAATATTGCAGTCTGAAGTCTTTTATTACTTATTATTATAATTAAGTTTTGAGAAATTTGAAATAAATAAATTATTTTACATTTTAAATAATTTTTTATTTCGATTATTTTAAGGACCCCAATATAATTAGTAATAAGATAATTGATGTTAATAGTTGTCCATACATAATTTGTGAGTATTTTAATAAATAAATTTTTTTAGGTTTACTATTTTATTGAAGATATACATTTTTTTTCAGCACATAGGTAAACATGTCCATTTTAGTAGCTTTGTTTATGTACGATCTTTGATATGTTTTCTGGCAATTTTGAGTCCTTTATAAATGTCGGGTTAAGATTTATTGGTGCCCAAACTTTTGCAGTTTAGCTGTATTCAGTATTTCTTGTTTTCTGTTTTGTAAAAGTGTTATCTAATTGTTATCTATCCATTATTCTTCTATTAATAATATTCTTACCCATTCCAATGAAGTTCTTGATTCTCAGCAATAAGGCCTTTGTAAAGCTCCAGTGTATGATCAGCTTATTACCACCTGATCTTATTCTTTTTTGACCACCTAAGCTGTATTTCGTTAAAATTTCATAATAAAATATTTATAATGGCATTAATATTGAGTAGAGAATTCTTTCCGTTAATAAGTAACAAAAAAATTGGATAATATCGATTAATAAGATTACTTAGATGTAGAAGTACTTCGATTACAAAGTGCATTCATGATATGTTATTCTAAACATGTTATTTCTATACATGTTATTTTGACAATATTTTTTTTCAAATATTTCTATTATTACTTCAACAAAGTGCTATGCACTATGCAGCCTTTGGAGAACTGACTTTGAAAATCTATAATTTTTTTTGTGAACTAAATACATGCTATCCAAACTTATTGTTTGTAAATAATATGAAAGTGTAATAATTGTTTTTAAAAATCATAAGAAAGATTGCAGAGGTTACAATAATTTAAAAAAAGTAACCTTCTGGGGTAGAATATTTCCTTCAATAAAGTCGTCCCAGGTACGCACCTCAAAAATATTGATATTATTTTAAATTCATTTACTTTAAAATTAATAATATATGTCCGAATTCTCATTCGCTGAACACTTTTCGAAGTGGGAATCGAAACATGAGAATAAACATATTTAACATAAAAATACCACAAGAACATGTCTTTAAAACCATGTTTCACTTTTATGTATATTGTTTTTATCCCAATAAGGATACTTGCAATATAAAATGAAAACAGTAAAATTTAAAAACAAAAAGAAAATAAGCAAGAAATAGTTGAAGGAAGTAATTAAATATAACCTGGAAGAGACAAAAAGAGACATAACAGAGAGAAATATAACCTGGAAGAGATAATGGCGCAAACATAGACTCAGACCACTGTTTAGTGATCTCAACACTAAGGGCTAGAATTTTATTAGAATATATAGAATTAATAATAGGTTAAGAAATCAAAGTCCAAGTGAAGAAGAATAGAGAGATATAGACTCCTACTGAGAATGAATGCAAATACGCAACACAAAAAAAAATTAAGCTTATGCAAAAATGCTTACCCGCCGAATTAGAACAAGTGTAGAGAATTACCAGACAAAGAGAAGAGTAGAAAAGAAAATACACAGAATGAAGAAACGAAACCACTTAAAAAAGGAACTTCAATATATAGAAAACCTCAACAGAGAGAAAAAATTCAGAACATTCAACTATAAGCAAGTTAACATCAACAGAAAAGAATTCAAGGCAAAAACAAATCAATGTAGAAGTTTGAATGGAGATCTATTAACAAAAAGAACAGACGTACTAAATCGATGGACGGAATATTTTAACCAGATAGTTAATATAGAGGAAGAAGAAAAAAACCCGGAAGACAAAAGCTGTGAGGTAAGCGGAGCAGACGAGAGGGAGGAGAATCCACCAACGATCCTGCAAGTTAAAGACGCTGTAAACAAACTAGCCAGAAACAAATCACCCGGAATAGATAATCTCCCAGCGAAATTATATAAAGAAGGTGGCCACGATATCATAATAGCGCTACAGCAGCTTTCAATACAAATATGGATACAGAAGTCCCTTCCCAGTGATTGAAATTATGGAATACTTTGCACCATACACAAAAAGGGAGATATCTTTGAATGCTCTAACTATCGAGGAATTACGCTCCTAAATGCAGCATATAAAATATTCTCCAATATACTATGCCATCGTATGGCACCGTATGCAAAGTAAATAATAGGGCAATATTAGGCTGGTTTCAGAGGTGGTAAATCAACAATTCATCAGATTTCAACCCTGAGACAAATTCTAGAGAAAACACTGGAATACGGTGTAGACACGCACCACATATTTATAGACTACAAGGCAGCCTACGACTCTGTAAATAGAAGAGAATTGTTTAGAGCAATGATAGATCTAAAAGTACCAAATCAGTTGAAAAGTCTAACCAAACTAATACTTGAAAAAGTTGAATGAAGAATACGAATCCAGGGGGAACTCTCTGAACCTTTTAATACAAATAACGGGCTACGTCAGGGAGACCCACTCTCCTGTATACTATTCAATTTAGCTCTGGAAAAAGTAATACGTACGTCACAAATCACAACTAGCGGTTCAATATTATACAAATCTGTGCAAATTCTAGCATATGCTGATTATTATCAATAGTGTTGGGAGAACGGAAAACGCAGCACAAGAGGCGTATGTAGCACTAAAGGAAGCGGCTACAAAAATGGGTTTATTAATAAACATTAATAAAACTAAATAATGAAAATAGGTCCGCAACCACAAGTACTACGGCCACTTGTTATAGAAAACGACGTCATCGAAGCAGTTAACGAATTTGTATATCTGGGAACGCTCGTCAATGCTGAAAATGTCACTACCGCAGAGATAAACCGCAGAATTTGCACGGCTAATAGATGATATTTTGGGCTTAATCTCCTTTTTAAATCTACAGTTATATCAAGAAATAAACAAGTAAAACTCTACAAAACAATAATATGCCCAGTTCTAACATATGGTTCAGAAATCTGGATTTTAACAAAAAGCAATGAAAACATGTTGGGATGTTTCAAAAGAAAAATACTAAGGCGAATCTATGGAGCGGTAAATGAAAATGGTGTCTGGAGAAGACGACACAACTTCGAACTCTATAGAATATACCAGGAACCAGATATCGTAAAACACATTAAGATAGGACGTCCTGAGGTGGGTAGGCCATATAATGCGGATGGAGCAAACCGACCCAGCTAGAAAAAACGCTCCTTGATAGACCTATTGGTCAAAGAAGAAGAGGAAGACCCAAAACAAGATTCCTAGATAACATAGACCAAGATATGAGAAATATGGAAATACGTGCTTGGCGGAGGAAGGCGATGGATAGGGACGACTGGAAGAGGATTCTTGGGGAGGCTAGGACCCACACAGGGTTGTAAAGCCAAAATGATGATGATGAGAGGCAAAAATCCAAATGTAACAGAAGAAAATTTCATGCTGTTGAATATAATAATATGCTTAATTGTAATACATAATTTTGGCGCAAAATCTAACTTACTTTGTTTCAGAGTTTGTATGGGTTCCATATATATTATTTAAATTTGTAATACTTTCATCTGATCCTATTGGAACGTTGGTACCATAATCTCCTGTTGTAGCTACATTGTATCCCAAATGCGGATTATCCACAGGTTTCGTTTCAACAGGATACCTATTTCTACCATTATTTATAGGATACTCAGGGAGCTTGCCGTTTGGTCTGGTACTAGGAGGATAATAATTTCCCGTACCAATATTTGGATTATTTGTAATAGGATAATTGCTATTTACAGTACCAATAGGTCTGTTGATAGGTGAATTGTAGTTATTGGTGATTATGGTGTCTACGCCTTTAACTGGTTTTGCTATTGTAGAACTAGACCCACTAAAACTACCACCTGCCGCTCTAACAGGTTTATCAATAGATGGGCTGTAGTTGGGTAAAATATTGTCTTTTAAACTATTAGAATTATCTATGGGATGAGTATGACCAACATTGCCAATAGAATGAATATAAACGTCTGGTTTGTCAATATACAAACTGGAATCACTAATACCGTCCCCTCCTATGGTCTGACTATTAAAATTATTTAATGACAAATCTTTATTAAGAGATGAGCTTGAAACAATTTTATTTGTATTTGGTGTCACATATTTGTCTGATTCAGTATGCACAACGATAGTTGAAGAGATAGTAGGTTTAGGTTTGCTAATATGCAACTTAGGGGTCGTTGTTTGTAAATCTTGCCGTTGTTGTGGGCAAATAGTTAAACCATTAAGTCGTATAGTGTCCAACTTAGGGGGTGTACCAATTGGGTTGTACTTTATAAAAAACCTTATTGCTACAGGAGGTCCCGCTTCAAGAATGTACTCCGGATTTGAGATCCGGAAATCTATGTTGTCTGTAGAATATGTTTCTCCAAACCAGTTCTACAAAAGAAAGATTTTATTAGCGATATGATAATATTCAAAACGACAAAACTACAAAATCTACAACTACAAAATATAATACAATAATACAGTAACAATATAGTCAGTATATACAGTCTTGACTAACGACAAGATATATACAGTATTGGAAGATTCAAAACGGAACATACGAATTATTAATACAATTATTAAGATCCCCTGACCTGCAATTACCCAGTGTAAATTTCAATATAACGTCGCGATGTCTTATAATTAATTCATTTGTTCGACTGGATTGCTACTCCTTGGCGATTTCTAGTAGCGTATTCGACAGGTGTACGTCGACACTGTTGTCTATCGTCCACTGATTTTCTGTGTTTTTGTGCAGATAATAACAATGTTTTATTAATAACAATTTTTTTGTGTTCATTAGATATTATTTGAATTGGTTAGTGTATAGTTTAATATATTTATTATTCCAAATATTGTTGATAATTTAAAATTTAAAAAGGATTTATATGATATATCAAAATCTACAGATTTTTGCCGAAGGTATCTATCGATTTGGCAACAGTCCCAAGGAACATCACTGGCCGAGCAAAACAAATACATGCCCTTTACTTTGCTTCTCATTATAACGCCATAAGCTGAAATAAAAGTAGTGTTTCTAACCATAAACCATGTATACAAACAAAGAAAAAGTACAAATTTTAAAATGGTATTATGGGGCAACTCGTACCGTGATATAAATTTATTTACTTGTGCGTATGAAGATAGGCCAATACCGACACAATCAACTATTAGTCCTATTATTAAGGTGCGCACGTGCGCAGCAGTCGAAAAATATCGACTGGAGAAGGAGTCCAGTCGAACAAATAAATTAATTATAAGACATCGCGACGTTATATTGAAATTTACACTGGTAATTGCAGGTCAGGGATCTATAATTATATTGTATTAATAATTCGTATGTTCCGTTTTGAATCTTCCAATACTGTATATATATATATATATATATATATATATACTATATATACATATATATATATATAGTATATATATATATATATATTATATATATAATATATATATATATATATATATATATATTGCCTATGATGTTTTGTTTGTGTATGAGCTATGAGCTGTGAACAATATTGTAGGGAGAACGGAAAACGCTGTACGAGAGGCGTATGTATCATTAAAAGAATCAGCTACAAAAATGGGTTTAATAATAAACGCCAACAAAACGAAGTATACGAAAATAAACAAACCACAAATACTGCGACCACTTGTTATAGAAAACGACGTCATCGAAGCGAAGTGAACGAATTTATATACCTGGGAGCGTTTCTTAACACTGAAAATGTTACTACCGCAGGCCAATAGATGCTATTTTAGGCTCAATCTCCTCCTTAAATCCACAGTTATATCGAGAAATACAAAAATAAAACTCTACAAAACAAGAATACGCCCAGTCCTAACATATGGTTTAAAGACCTGGACTCTAACAAGAAATAATGAAAACATGTTAGCTAGCATGTTTCGAAAGAAAAGTACCAACGCGAATTTATGGAGCAGTGAATAACGATGAAGTGTGGAGAAGATGATACAACTTTAAATTTTATAGAATATACCAGGAACCTGATATCGTAAAACATATTAAGAGAGGACGTCTGAGGTGAATAGGGCATGCAATGCGGATAAAACAAAATTACCCAGCTAGAAAAACGCTCTTTGATAGAGCATTGGTCAGAAAAGAAGAGGAAGACCTAGAACAATGCTCCTTGATGAAGTCATGAGAAATATGGGAATACGTGCTTGACGGAGAAATGCGATGAATAGGAACGACTGGAGAGAAACTCTTGAGGGGGCTAGGAGTCAGGTAGGGTTGTAATGAAAGAATGATGATGAAGACTGTAAGAGATGCCGAGTTACAAAATAGGGCAACAATTTTCAATAAGTCAACGCAGATTATAGCTTACACTGACGATTTGGATTTGATCGCACGCGTCACACAAGGGCTTACAAAGATTGTTTTCACTTTCTTAAAGGCCGGAGAAATGGAGGTCTTAAAAAAAACAAGGAAAAAAAACAAAATATTGGCATTGATTCCACGTAACAGATAAAATGCTAGAAACGCCGAACAAAACTTCATTATAGACCAGCATAGACCAATATAATTTTGAGGTAGTAAATAAGTCTAACTTATCTGGCTTCCCTGGTAACAAGCGATACTCTAAAGAAGTAAAACGAAGGAAACTGCTAGCGAACAAATATGTTGGACTAAACAAGCAGCCAAAAAATAAAAATTTAAGCCAAAAAACTAAACTAACACTAACCATATATAGAACACTTACCCTAGCAGTGCTAGGATGAGTGATATATGAGTCAAAAACATGGACCATCTCCAAATCAGACGCAAATTAAATGCTAGTTTTCGAAAGGAAGATACTAAGAAGAATAATGGGTTCAATCTTTGAGAATTGTATTTGGAGAAGGCGATATAATTTCGAATTGTATGAAAACTGTAAAGAAATAGTCAATAGTAGTCATATTATATCCTTCATAAAAATAGATAGGATAAGCTGGACATGTGTCAAAAATTAAAATTACCCACCCAGACGAACCCCATTAGCGGTACCAGTAGAAAATAGAAGTAGAGGTAGACCAAGGGTGTTATGGAGTGGCGGTGTGGGCGAGGACGCGAGTAAGATCTGGAAAAAAAGTGGAAACATTTGGATATAAACAGAAAAAACTGACAAAATAGACTGGGGAAGGTCGAGGATCAGCTAGGTCTGTAACACCACTGATGATGATGTTGTCTTAAATAAAATATTCTTAAAATAAACACTGAACGAAAACAGAGGACAATCATTCAATGAAAATAAGCTAGAAACGCTCAGTGATCTTTACAGGCGATCAGGTAGTTATATCATTAAACTTCAAAGACTACAATAATTTAGAAATGAAACTTAAGAAGACGAAACCTTGAACAAAGCAACTGAAAACCAAAAGACACAAAAAGGAAAACCATATGACATAACGGAATACTATAATCAATCGAGAAATTGTCCCATTATGTTTACTAAAAATACTAGTATTAATACTAGTAGTAAAATTCAATTTTTTCAAAAATACTAGTAATGATGTAAAGTAAATCTAAATACATACCCCCAACAGTTCAGCCTTCCTATCCAACTTCACGGTAAGCCATATTCCGACAAGTTTTTCAGTAGTATGAATTGTGATTACTCCAACCCATTTGTCAGCTTCCTTTTGAGGTTCGTAATAAAATATATCTGGGCATGGTGACAATAAGGGATCAGGTAATTGGGTAACTATTCCTTTCAACATATATGCTAATATCAGAAGATATAGATGCATTTTAATAAATCAGTAATCTGTAAAGAAGAATATTATATTAGACATTATTCTGCAACAAATAGTTTATAGTTTCTTTATTTTATTTATTTATTTATTTTGTCAATATTTCTTATATGACAACGAGAGAAATAAGGAGGGTTATGAACGGGTAAAATAAATAAAAAATCGAAAAAAAGCCGATTCAAAACATCCTACTGGTTAAAAACTAAATCAGACTATTGACTAGTAGACCCAGAGAGAGAAGAGAGAGAAAATTGGGTAAACAGCTGATAGACAAAGTATGCTCTTCTTACTATATCCAATATAATTTTTACTGGAAATTAACTACAACTTTAGTTTATACAAATATATTTATTTTTATCGTTTCGATTTTCACTTCACAAATCTTTAACCTTTCCTAATGCTAAACATGTACTTAGTTGCAGTTACTTATAGACTGTAGACCCTTATAGTTTACAAGATAATTTCTGCTAGGGAGCATGTTTATAGCTTGATCTGATCTTGTTTTTCTATAGAATATAGCAGTTAGATCATTTTGTGAATATCTCTGGTCGTATCATCCTATTATTGTACTACAACTTCGAAGAATTTTATTTACCAATATTTTTGTATGTTTTTTTACTCCATTATAAGGCACCAAAACTAAGATATATCAGATGATACTGAGTGGTGGTGATCTTAAGAACCACGCTTTAACACGATGGTTAATGTAACATTAGATAGGGATCTATAGCAAAGAAAAGAGGTAGCGTACGTTTAAATATGGATACAATAACTCACACGAAACATGAAGCCTTTAAACAAAATAAAATATATCATATAAGTATATAGTAAATATGAATACATACCTGTCGTATAAACTTTAACATAACACAATTAAAAACACGCTTGTCACAATTATGTCGTAAACTCATTAGAAAGCTATTATACTTCATTAGTGATACCTTGTTGTAAAAGGATCCAAGAATACTGTTAAATTAGAACTTGTTTCCAAATAAAAGACACGGAAAATCCCAAATTTGATGTACTTACGTATAATTTTGAAGTTAATTTACTTATTAATAAGCTTAATTTGGATATTTCTAAAAAAAATAGGTAAAAACAGATTTAATGAATGAAGAAGTTATATTACATTATTTTTCCACTTAAAAGTGGAAGTAGGTGTTATGATCACCAGGCTATGAAATCATCATAGCCAGAATGATCGCCAACGTTCGGAACGGACAAGCACCCTAAGAAGAAGAAGGTGTTATGAACACAATACACTTTCATGCACATTATCTATAATATTTTGTATACCTTAGTCATATGTAACTTTATAATTATAGTCATTTATAACTTTATAAGGAAGCACCACTGTCAGATTTCAATAGAATAAAAAGATTGCTATGGGCAGGACAGGTGATACCAAAAAGAGCACTGAATGCTAGAATGCAGGAAAAAGACTGGTTGAAAAGCCAAGAAAACGCTGGGAAGACACGGTAAACAGCGACGCACAAGCCCTTAAGGAGTCCATGTATGGAGAAGATCAGCCACAGACAAGCAAGGTTGAGCATAGGCCAGGATTACTTTAGCTGTAGTGCCGTAGAAGTAGAAGAACTCATGTGTGATGGTGTTCAGTGACCCACATAATCCCTTCATTAACTCACTGGCCATTTTGTTTTACTTGGTAAATCGGTATTGCGCGGATGTGTTCTGTCATTATTACAGTATTTTACAGTAATATCAGAATATTAATGCTGGTTAACATTTAAAATGAGTTCCAGAGGTAAACAAATGTTAAAGCTAGTACAGGAACAAATACACTGTGAACAAAATTTGCCAAATGATAAAAACAAATCCACAGCGAGTTCTAACCTCAAAAAATGTATTAACATAAAATGAAATAACAGATAAAATGCGTTATCATCAATTGCACATTTTGATATTTTTTTAAAATCGGTAGGTCGGTAGATATGTATCAAATTCGGTAGAAATCCCAAAAAATCGGTAGACGGAATAGCACTGGTTTCAATTCACTTTAAGGCTATACGTAAATAGCTGTTTTTATTTTCAGATCTGGAGGGGATACAACCATTCTTGTCAGACTGCAGTGGAGATGCTGAATATTTTCCGAATAATGAATTAAGCAGTTCTTCAGGAACAAGTGACACGGAGGATGAAGAAAGAGCGGAGTACAGCCATGTAAACAACTTTGTTGAAGGTACATTCATTTATGGAAACAAAGAATAAGGCGAAATTTTTCAAATGCCTATAATTTGATAGACTTGATTATTGATGCAAAAAATGCTTTACTATTTAAATCAATTATGAAAAAACCAGTGTTGAGGAAAGAAAAGATGCTGTTAAACATAAAACTGCATCATATACATATAACGTTACAAAAAATGGAATTACCGAAAAAGAATGCAAAGAAGCGATACCAAACAGGCAAGAAAAAACGTGATATTGTAAAGATTCATATAAATAGTGGTGTTGCAGCACCTCCTCCAGATTGTAGAAGTAAGCACTCCAACAGGCCAAACAAAATAGACCAAGATGTTAGGGATTTTGTGATAGCTTTGCGAAGAATATTTGTCGTACAAAAACATTCTCGTTCCAAGAAATGAGCCGAAAAAACGGATTCTTTGTAGACAAGGCTGTAGATTTTCTTGTAGCAGTAAATTTTCAGAAGATAACGGGAAGGCATTTTTTGATGAATTTGATAGACTTGATATTAATGACTTGATATTAATGCAAAAAATACTTTACTATTTAAACCAATCATGAAAAAACCAGTGTTGAGGGAAAGAAAAGATGCTGTTAAACATAAAACTGCATCATATACATATAACATTACAAAAAATGGAATTACCGAAAAAGTATGCAAAGAAGCGTTATGTGCTCTATACCAAATAGGCAAGAAAAAACTTGATATTATAAAGAGTCGTATAAATTGTGGTGTTGCAGCACCTCATCCAGATTGTAGAGGTAAGCACTCCAACAGGCCACACAAAATAGTCCATGATGTTAGGGATTTTGTGATAGAGCACATAAATAAGTTTCCTGTAGAAGAGTCGTGGAAGAGTAGAAGAGATGTAGGTGTACCGACGCATTCTTCGTATATCCTGGACCGAACATGTCACCAACATAGAGGTACTCCAAAGAATCGGAAAGGAGAAAGAAATCGTGAATACAATTAAACAAAGAAAGCTTGAATATCTAGGCCACATATTGAGACATGATAAGTACCGTTTGCTGCAATTGATTATCCAGGGAAAAATAGACAGTAAGCGAGGGCCAGGCAGGAGAATACACTCGTAGCTCCATAAATATGCGGAATGTGGTTCGGGCTCACATCGGTCGAACTATTCAGAAGCGCCGCAAACAAGATCAGAATTGCCATGTTAATAGCCAACGTTCGCAACGGACAGGGCACTTGAAGAAGAAGTAGAAGAGTCGCACTATTCAAGGAATAGAAATCCTCATAAAAAAATACCTTTTTCCCTACTAAATGTGAGCAAAATGCATGAGTTTTATCGGGAGGAATGTAATATGGCACAACTTCCTGGAAAATTCATAATTAAAAAATGTTCATATTCCAATATTTTGCGACACAGTTTAATGTATCATTTGGATACCCAAAAAGTGATACGTGTAGTATCTATGATGGTAGTGAATCTTACGATCGACATAAAGAACCGCACCGCAGCAACTAAAGCGCTCAAAGTTAACAAGAAAAAGGCAAAAGATTTAGACAACTTAGTCTATATTACAACATATATGCAACAGACAATGCCGCTGCAAAAATAACAACGTCCAAAGCATTTTACATAAGACAAATGTCGTTTTACAATTTTGGGGTGCATATTACCACCTGTGTACAAAAACTCTAACACGATATCCTAATACGATATCCGATCAATGCAGGCTAGCGTAATGCGTTCATTTCTTGCTTTCTCTAGTGACGTATTATCGAACTGAAATGCTTGCTTGAGCCTCGACTTTCCGCTCCAGTTGCGCCTAGTTCGGCGATTCGATGCCCGAGGATGTGGGCCCTTCATGCCCAGGTTTTGGAGGTTTTGTTAATTATTTTTGGATGGCTGTCGCCTTTTTGTTGGTTTTTTTTTAATTTTTTTTTTGTGGCCAAAGCTTTTATTTATTAATTTTTTTTTAAGATTGTCCTGTAAATGAACATCAATTATTAAAAGTTCCAGTTCTGAGTGCTGGGGCTTTTTCTGTTGGTAGAGCTACGAATTATCTAGACTTTATGTGTTTGCCAGGATTTGCTGTTTTCGTCTTTTGTGCTTCCATCGATGGAACGCATCATATCTTATTATCTCTCGCAGGATCAAGATTGGGAAATTGTTTCAGCACCTATCACCTTTACTAGTTGCAGTTCTCTAAACAGAAAGCGTTGTCATTTTGTCGCAACATTTGCTGCTTCTCTGAGGATAGTACTGTGGGCTGCTTGTATTTTCATTTTATTTAAATAGCTTAAGTATTCCCATGCGAAAGATGCATATGTGATTATTGGAAGTATGATGCTGTTTATCCTGTAAGTCCTCTTATTGCTGCTCTGAATGTTGCTGTTTTCTGGATGGGTATGTCCACGCGTTTCTTAAAGTTTAAACCTTGGTCCATAATGACTCCTAGGTATTTCACTTGTCTTTTCTATTCGATGGTATTATCTTGCACTAACAGCTGTTATGATTGCTTGTCTCTTTTCTGAATTGATTGCTATTTTCCATTGGATACGCCATTCTTCAATGTTATCCAATGCTGTCTGTAGATTGTTAACCGCTACTTCTAAGTTTCTGTGTTTGGCCGCAATCGCTGTGTCATCTGCATAAAGGTTGAGTAGTTTTCCTGGTGTTCTTGGAACACCTGCGGTATATATTGTGTACAGTAATTGTGACAAGACTGCTCCCTGTGGCACTTGAGCCTCTGAAGCTCCGTGTTCGGAGAGTATTTGTACCATTCGTACCTTAAAGCTTTGGTTTCCCAAGTACGAAGAGATA